AACACAGCAGGCCAAGCAGCATCATAGGAGCAGAGAGGCTGACGTTTTGGGCCTAGACCCTTCATCAGAAAGTTTTTAGGACATGGCGCAAATTGGGATCTATGTTGTGATTGGTTGGCTTGCTGAGCTGGTTCGTTGCTCCACAGACGTTTCATTACCCTGCTAGGTAACATCATCAGTGCAGCCTCCGATGAAACATCCACAACCCGAGTTACAAATCTACTCTAAAACCTTAGAAATTAGGATCTATTTTAAGCCTCACATAGACAATTAGACAAATTTAGTGGGGAATTGAAACTCACATTTCTTACAATGCACTATTGTATTATGCTAATATATTTTTCTACTATGCTGTTCAGCACCCAGACAGATTAATTGTTGATTTTATGTTATTTAACATCAATCTCAAAGACAGTAACACTAAAACAAAGTAAGTTAAAGCTCTGCGTTCTCTGTCAAGGTAGTAATCATTGGCTCAAATTTTGAGGGAATTGCTATCTACACGACTGGATTTAATGACAATGATTTCTAATAAAGATATGACATTTCTGAATTTCCAATCTGTCAATTGTACATTAAAATTTGCAAGTTTTAAAACAGAATGTATTATAGAGTCATAGAGATGTACAACATGGAAACAGACCCTTCAGTTCAACTTGTCCATGCCAACCAGATATCCTAAATAAATCTAGTCCCATTTGCCAGCATTTGGCCCAAATCCATCTAAATCCTTCCTATTCATATACCCATGCAGATGCCTTTTAAATGTTGCATTTGTACCAGTCTCCATCACTTGCTCTGGCAGCTCATTCCATACATTCCATTCACCCTCTGCATGAAAAAGTTGCCCCTTAGGTCCCTTTAAATATTTCACCTTAAACATACACCGTCTAGTTTTGGACTCCCCTACCCCAGAGAAAAGACCTTGTCTATTTACCCTATCCATACCCATCATGATTGTATAAACCTCTATAAAAGGTCACCCCTAAGCCTCCAATACTACAGCCTATTCGGCCTCTCCCTATAGCTCAAACCCTCCAACCCTGGCAACATCCTTATGAATATTTTCTCAACCCTTTCAAGTTTCACAATATCCTTCCTAGTGCAGGGAGACCAGAATTGAATGCAGTTTTCCAAAAGTGGCCTAACCAATGTCCTGTACAGCTGCAACATGACCTCCTAACTCCTACACTCAATGCACTGATCAATAAAAGCAAGCATACCAAACAGCTTCTTCACTATCCTTTCTACCTGCGACTCCACTTTCGAGGAACTATGAACCTGCACTGCAAGGTCTCTTTGTTCTGCCACATGCCTCAGGATCTTACCATTAAGTGTACAAGCCCTGCTCTGATTTGCCTTTCCAAAATGCAGCATCTCACATTTATCTAAATTAAACTCCATCTGCCAATCCTCGGTCCATTGGCTCATCCGATCAAGATTCTGTTGTACTCTGAGGTAACCTTCTTCGCTGTCCACTACACCTCCAATTTTTGTGTCATTTGCAAACTTACTAACCATACCTCCTACGTTCACATCCAAATCATTTATATAAATGACGAAGAGCAATGGACCCAGCACTGACCCTTGTGGCAACCACTAGTCACTGGTCTCCAATCTGAAAAGCAATCCTCCACCATCACCCCCTGTCTTCTATCTTCGAGCCACTCTGTATCCAAATGGCTAGTTCTCCCTGTGTTGCATGTGATCTAACCTTGCTAACCAGTCTACCATGAGGAACCTTGTCGAACACCTTACTGAAGTCCATATAGATCATGTCCATTGCTCTGCCCTCATCAATTCTCTTCATTACTTCTTCAAAAAAAAAACTTAGGTTAGTGAGACATGTTTTCCCACGCACAGGGCCATGTTGACTATCCCTAAACAGTCCTTGCCTCTTTAAATACATGTAAATTCTGTCCCTCAGGATTCCCTCCAACAACTTACCCACCACCGATGTCAGGCTCACCAGTCTATAGTTCCCTGGCTTTTCCTTACCACCTTTCTTAAATAGTGGCATCATGTTAGCCAACCTCCAGTTTTCCCGCACCCCACCTGTGGCTATTGCTGATACAAATATCTCGGCAAATAGCAATCACTTCCCTAGTTTTCCACAGAGTTCTAGGGTACACCTGATCAGGTCCCAGGGATTTATCCACGTTTATGCATTTTAAGCCGTCCAGCACCACCTCCTCTGTAATATGGACATTTTTCAAGATATCACTATTTATTTCCCCACATTCTATATCTTCCATATCCTTCTCTACAGTAAACACTGATGCAAAATACTTGTTTAGTATCTCCCCCATCTCCTGTGGTTCCACACATAGGTGGCCTTGCTGATCTTTAAGGGGCCCTACTCTCTCCTAGTTACCCTTTTGTCATTAATGTACTTGTAGAATCCCCTTGGATTCTCCTTAACCCTATTTGCCAAAGCTATCTCATGTCCCCTTTTTGCCCTCCTGATTTCCCTCTTAAGGATACTCCTACTGTCTTTATACACTTCTAGGTGTCCACTCTATCTCTGCTGTCTATACCTGACATACACTTCCTGCTTATTCTTGACCAAAACCTCAATTTCTGTAGTCATCCAGCATTGCCTACACCTACCAGCCTTGCCCTTCACTCTAACAGGAACATACTGTCTCTGGGCCCTCGTTATTTCATTTTTGAAGGCTTCCCATTTTCCAGCCGTCCCTTTATCTGCAAACATCTACCCCCACAATCAACTTTTGAAAGTTCTTGCCTAATACTGCAAATTGACCTTCTTCCAATTTAGAACTTTAACTTGTAGATCCGGTCTATCCTTTTCCATCACTATTTTAAAACTAATAGAATCATGGTCACTGGCCTCAAAGTGCTCCATTTTGAAAATGTAATTCAAGTGTTTTACAAGAATAAATTTTCTATAGAATGTAGCCTATGAACCTACAAACAAAATTATACAAAAGTTTTCAGTATATGTTCAAATATGAAATTTACAGCTTCAAATGAAACTATGCTTCAAAGGAGAACTTTGTTTTAAACCAAAGAAAAGTTTCTTCATGCTTCTATTGAAGAATCCATTCCAAGACACAATTCCACAGATACCAGAAAATGTCCAGGACATTGGCCTAGCTATTATCCAAGATGTCAGCTTAAATAAAGAATATCAGCAAAAGTAATTCCATAGAAGGTTAACACTGTCAAGCCCAATCTAGCCATCATTAAATATCCATTTGA